CACTAAATCTGCTAGTATAGCTATCTTTCAAAACCTGCCCTTTCCTCCAATCCCAGCATCCTTCCAAGTTAAGGAGTATGATTGAAGGATGTTCTTCCAGTGTTTAGTGATATTGGATGAAAGAATATCATCCATATGAATGGATGGAAGAATATCATCCATATGAAAGAAACTATGCTGGGGGAATTCACCAACATGATCTCTAATGTCTCCAGCAAACCATTATTTTGTCATATTTATATAGTTGCCCATCTCACTGACAAGTGACTCTGGACAGTGTACAACAAAAATAAAAACATTTATATATTGACAAGTATTAATATTACTATTAAAATCTTTAAAATTATAAAAGGCACCAACACACACACACACACGCACACACGCACACACACACACACACACACACACACACAAACATACATACCAGGGGTGGGTTCTACTTATCTCTGCTACCGGTTCGCAATGGGAGTGTGCCCGTGAGCTTGCTTTGCTCATGAGCGCGCACTTCTGCACATGTGCAGATCATCCGTGATGATTTCCAGCTGGGTAGGCGGAGCCTCCCGCTGCTGTTACTACCAGTTCGCAAGAACTGGACCGAACCGGGAGCAATCCACCACTGAAACATACACATATACATACATACATACATACATACATACATACATACATACATATATATATATATGTGATGGTAAACCTTTTCGGCAATGAGTGCCGAAACTGGAGTGTGCGCATGCTGGAGCGCCAGAGCCCAGAAGAGAGCAGATGGCCGGTGCACATGCCGTGGCGGCCAGCTGCTCTTCAGGGTTCCGTCGTGCACATGCATGCCGGACAGCTTGTGCACACTGGAACCTGGAAAATAGCAGTTGCCCGGGACACATGCATGCGACGGAACCCAGAAGATCAACTGGCAATGGCAAGCATGCCCACAAAGAGGGCTCTGTGTGCCACCTCTGGCACGCATGCCATAGGTTCACCATCACACATATATACTATATATATGGAGAGATATATATAGAATAAAATAGAATAAAACTTTATTGTCACTTTAAATGTACACAAATCAGCGTACATTAAAATGAAATTTTGTTGCATTCAGCTTTCAAAGGATAACCATTATGCATATAACCACATGCACATACATATATGACACAGAGAAACATCACAGTCTAGTTCGAATGTATACAGATATATAGTGGGGGGGGGAAGAATCCTTAGAGTTTACAAGACGGATAGCTTAAGGAACAAAGGTGTTACAGAATCTGGTAGTCCTGGTAGAAATACTTTGAGACCTCCTCCCAGAGGGGAGCAACAGAAACAGACTGTGAAGTGGGTGTGTGGAGTCTCTAACAATGCTTTGAGCTCTAAGCGCCTTCTCGACTGCCCTTACCATTCTTTGTATGGACTTTGTCTCTGAGGCCCTGCTGCCACCAAAGACAGAGAGAGAGAGACAGAGGGAGGGAGGGAGGGAGGGAAAGTGAGTGCCAGCAGGGACAGCAAATGAAGGGCTGGTAGATTGTAATTAAGTTGGATATGGGGAAGAATGTATTGTTGTCTTCTATTTGTAACTCTTGGGGATTTTTTACCCCTTCCTCCATCTTCCTTCTCTTCCTCCTCCTCCTCCATTTCCCCAAACATTATGTCAAAAAGGGAAATACAGAACAGCTGCACAAGAACTTTTGACTGGTAACATGAAGTGTTTCTGTCTAGAAGCAGCCTTGTTGACCTTGAGCTTTATGAGAGAGAAATAAAAAATTCTCTCTGCTTTATCCACCTAGTCCATCATTCTGAAAACATCTATTAAGTCCCTCCTCAGTTGTTTTGTTTCCGGCTCTAAGAACCCTCAGATCTAGGAGAGCTGGTCCTAGGGGGTTTCTGGAGATGGGTCAATGGACAGAAATGCTCTCTGCCACGCCCCCTTTCCATTGGCAGGAAGCTTCTGAGGAGAACTGCACTCAAGGGATGCTACTGCTAGAAGAAGGAAATGCTAGAGCCCCTTGTCTGACTTTCATTCACCTTTTTGCTTCCTGTTTGCCCACTTGGAGTTATCCTTTAGAACAGTGTTTCTTAACTTTGGCACAGCTGGCTGGGGAATTCTGGGAGTCGAAGTCCATACATCTTTAACTTGCCAAGGTTGAGAAACATTGCTTTAGAATATCTTCATATTCCTCTTCATATTCTAGTAGTTTGTACGTGCGGGTTGTTATTTTAATGTACTTTTTTTTTTTTGCTTATCCTTGACTGGGGATCACTGAATAATTTGCCTACACTACTCCCAAAGTGGACTCTTAGAGGAATTCCACTTACTTTCCATCATTATAAAATCTAATATCCATATTCTCTTACTTTTTAGCCAATTTCTGACTCAAGATACATATCTTAGTTTATCTTGAATGAGTTTGTGCCAGCCTATCCAAGTAGAGCATCCTAGGAAACCAATGTCATGTAGATCAATACTATTTGTATCAGAAAGTTACTTTAGTGTAGCGGTTAAACTGTTGGCTTAGAAACCAGGAGATTGGGAGTTCCAGTCCTGCTTTAGACATAAAAGCCAGCTGGGTGACTTTGGGCAAGTCCCTCTCAGCCCAACCCACCTCACATGGTTGTTGTGAGGAAAACAGGAGCAGGAACGAGTATTATGTAAGGTCACTCCCTGGAGTTACGTATAAAGTAGTAAGGGTTGGAGGGGGGTGGGAACCAAACAAGTAAATAAACAGAATCTTGCACATCTGAATGTACTTCCCCTATCTTTCTGTTTATCTTCATGTGAACTAGGGAAGGGCTTGTCTGACAAGAGAATGATAGTAATGGTAATAGAGTTGGATGGGACCTTGGAGGTCATCTAGTCCAACCCCCTGCTCACGCAGACCTGTACTAGGGATTTGAACCACCGAATTGCCAACCTTTCTGATTGACAAGCTCAGTGTTTTAGCCACTGAGCCACCTAGATGATCTTATGTAAATTGTACCATAGCATTGTATACATTTTCTTGGACCATATTTCATTGCTAGATCATTTAAGTTTTCTTGATTTAAAACTTAAACTTTTATAAATAGAAGACCTATATTAGAACATAAGTTTTATTAAGTTACTTGAGGGACCTACCTATCCATCCACCCACCCATCCAATACTCAATTCTTTTTACCCAGGATGCTGACATGACATGTTCACTTCCTATTCTCATTTTTAGCATCTTTCTACATTGGCTACACATTTGTTTTGCAGCTACGTCTGTATGTAATATCCAATGACATCATCCATGTTTAAAAATATTAATGGCAGCTAAAGAAGATCTTCATAAACAAGTAAAACTTATCTTAGTTTTCCTCATTAATATAGATAGCTTCATTAATCTCTGCCCTTATAGAAACTCACTATGAACCAGCTGCTCAGAGTCATGGTATATATTCATCAGTAGGGTAGAAATTAAATCAATTACTGGTAGTAACTAAAATAAAAGAAGTATAAAATAAATGCTAATTAGAATTGGAATCTAGAGCAAATTTGTCAACAGATTGATTTACTTCTGTTACTTAGAGAATTAGGGAACTCAGATATTTTTTCAGATCAGATTTAGTAAGACGTTTTGTGACATATAATTACTAAAAGGGAGAATCTTTTTTAATGATAGTCTTTTTAATATTTTCCTTTATAATCTAAACATGAATACAATCCTTAGTATAAGTTTATTTACCTCATGGCAGCCTGCTCACATAATTCAGTTAACTAAGATGGAGTTGTGCCATGATGGATTTCAAAACTGCATTTCTAATAGCCACCTTTATTAAAGTCCAATTTTGAATGAATTGAGGTCAGTAGCATCCTTTCTATCAAGCACACTTACAAAAGCTTGCTTATATACATAATAAGCAATAAGCTGTCAATTATTTATGCTAATAGGTAAACCATTGAAAAGTACAAGAAAAGTTTTTTCAGAACATTAATAAGTAAATGACATAAGCATAGGTCTTTTATCTGCTTTTCAAATGCAATTATTTTCAGTTATTCTAAATAACTGAAGACAAACCAATCCAATTTGGCAGATAGGAAAATACATGTGTTGACAGCATGTTGATATTTATAATTCCCCTTAGTACTGTAAAGAATTGGGGTTTTGGGATTTTCTGTGATTACATGATTTTTTTTTATTTTCCTCAAGATGATGTCCTATTTCCAAACTTGCTCTGCCACATCTCCTTCTGAGGAGTGTTTATCAATTATGGTCTTCCAAACAAGTAACAAATATATAATAAGGTAAAAGAAGATACTCCTTTACTTCTGAATTTTAAAAATCTTATAGAACCCTCATTTCTATCATTCATATATACAATAGGAAAATACTTATTGATGTATGACTGCTAAATAAGCAAATCAAATTTTACTTGGAATATTTTTTGTAGAGTTGAGTACTGGGATTTAGTTCATCGAAAGAATTACCATAACAAAAAAAGTGGGGAAACTGTGACTATTTTGAGTTAGGAAATAAGGCTTCCCTTAATGTTTTTTTCTAATTATGTTTACGCAGCATTAAGTCCCTCTGGTTACTTCTGAGAAAAGGCTGCATCCTGAATCTTTTTCCAATATCAGCAACTTAAATGTGTACCGTAAGAAGTTCATTGGTGAGGCACCTGATTTTCTCTTCCTGAATAGCAAAAACAATTGGAGATTTCCTCCAGCATTAAGATAGTATACTGTGTGATATGGTCATTAGCCTTGACAAAGCAAGCATTAATCACATTCTCAAATCTCTAATGAATCTGTGCTTTGTAAGGGATGTTGTGAAGGGGGTTTGAAATGGGCAGGGACAGTGGTTGAGAAAGAATTTCCCTCATTTGTGAGGCTTTAAATGTCTTCCAGCAGCTGTATCATTTGTTGTTCTTTCCTCCTAGAAGACCTTAGCTGATTAGAGGAGGGGGGGAGGCAGGGGATTCAGTTGTATGCCCCGATTTATCAGGCAAAACTCCCATGTGATCAGACCAGCAGCGTCAGAGAGGCTGAAGCTGGGAGGCGAGCACTAGCTAATGAGGCTTTGTGCAAAGCGGTAGCTCTTGTCGCTGAACAATAAAGCATATGGTACCAGCAATAAAACGCCAGACTGGGAAATTTAAGAAGATTCCGCTGGAACCAGGAGAGCAGGTAACACGTCACGCCCTTGCAACATGACAGCTCATTGGGGTGCATAATTATTAGCCAAAAAGTGCATGGATTGGAAACGCAACCATTTGAACAGGTCAGTCTCTCTCTCTCTCTCTTTTAAAAATCTTTTTCCAATTATTGGGGATGTGAATGTTTGGACTGTAACTCGGGATTTGGGTTTGTAGCATTGTGAGCTGTTAGCATTTTCTGAATTCAGCAAGGTGTGGCTTTTTGGAGTTGAACGGCTAGCCAAATAAATTGTGGTAAGTGTAGCAATGACTTAATGGAGGGAATATTAAAAAACATAAAACACTCCTGCAGCCCGGACAATTACAGATCCACAGTTATTAATTATAATAAATCTTTTAACAGTGATCCTAGCCAATCTGAAATACCCAATTATTTTAACACACACACACAAAAATCAAATATGCTGGTGTCTTGTCAGCCTCATTATTTTGAGTTAGGTGCCATGTGGTTTCAATGAGTGGATGTTCTTTTTTTGTTTCTGTTTTACATGAGAAACGGAATACCCTGGAATGTTAATTAGGTGGCCCAGAATTTTTCTAAAGCACCCATCTTTTGTGAAATATTTCACAAGGGATGATGGAAAGATAGATACACCGAGATACACATCCCAGAGGCCTTTCAAAAGAACCCGTGCATCTGTTTTCTCCTTCAAATTTTTCTTCTGCTTAATCACACACACAGAGACACACACACACACACAGAGACACACACACACATAAGTGTTTTCCTATAGAGACACCTTATTTCTTTCAGTGAAATATAATACAATATTTTATATATATATATATATATATATATGTATGTATGTATGTATGTATGTATGTATGTATGTATGTATATGAAAGATTAGCCTTCTCAAAACAAAAGTTTAAAGACTAAAACAGATTAAAGAGTCAGGCACCTGGTCTCTTCCAAATATCTTTTCCAATTTTGATGGACGTAAAATGGTTAATTTTTAATATCTGCTATGGTAGGTGAGCAGAATCTTTGAACAGGGCTGATATTTTTTCCCAGAAGCAAAATGGGAGAAAGCAGGGAATCAACAACCTTACTACCCTCCCACCCCCCACCCCCACAAAAAAAATAAAGCACCCAATTCCAGATGCAACATTTGACACAATTAATCAGAAACACATTTGGTGCTTCTTCTTCCTCTCCCGGGCATCCTGTTGCATACGACGCAGGTTCACAGAGGGTTTGCTGTGTTTATTAGGGTCTTGTATTCCCTGAACGTGAAAATAAAAGCGACACGCGTTTTCCTTTTCGTTTAGAGAACCTCTTTCACTCCTTCCCTCAACCCCACTGGCTGATCCTACAGGGGAATCCTACAAAAACGCAAAGGCGAGTTTTGAGAACGAAACGAAGCTCCTTTGAAAAAAGACTCCGATTTAGCTGCTTTGCATTTACACCAGCCCAGACCGAGGGTCGAGGAGGGTAGACACCCCACCACCACACACACACCCTCATCTCTGGCCCTCCCTGGATGTGTGAATAGAAGGTTTGACTAGTTGGATGGTCACCTTGGCAACCACCCACCCGAGAAACCCGAGTTGGGGTAGGTTGCTGGACTGTGGGGAGCCCGCGGGCCTTTCCCGCCCCTGCGGGGCCTGCGGTTCCTTCGCCTCGCGGGAGATCCGCGGATTCCGAGGGAAATCGCAGCGCGCCTCGGCTCTTCTTTTCCCTCCCCCCCCCCTCCCTCCTTCTCGCGGCTGACAGGCCTTCGCCAGCCTTATGCAAATAAAGACGGCCAGAGCCGCTTTGCCTGCAGAAGGACGGCGAGGAGAGGAGAAACCAGTTCAAAGGTCACCCAGCTAGTGGGAGGCTGTAAGAGTTGAGGGGTGGGGGGTGTTGAAGAGAAGGGGTGGGGGGAGAATACACCCAGGCTGCTGCAGTGAGTACGACGCGGTTTTGTTTCCTATTGTGGGAAGAGCCGTGCAGCAAGCCCGGAGCAGGACTCTCATCGGAGGTACGGTGCCAGGGACTGACTTTGCTTCATTGCAGAAAATGCAGGGTGGTCTATGCATATTTGTGTGTGTGTGTGTAGCGTGGATCCTTATTCCACTCGATGCACGGTTCCTCTCTTTTTTTTGCAAATTGCAGCCGCGCTGTTAGTTCTTTGCAAGGAGGAGGCTGAGTCTCGTCTTTGGTCTTCTCTTAGTGGGTGGCTTTCTTTTCCTTTTGCAAAATGTCACAGGAAGGTTTTTAAACGTGTCATGATGAAAGGGTTTGGCGCTGCGTTTGGAGAGGCGGGATGGGTGGTTTATGGAGGAAGAGGTGGATTATTTTATTTAAAAAAAAAAATCAACAGACATATAAATATGGGAGTGCGTCGGAGCTGACTTTGGTCCAGATTGTCGCTTGCAGCTTGCAAGCCTTCCTGTGCAGCATTGGGCTTGAGATGTAAACTCCATTGAAATGTGTTTGAATATTAGTATGTAAACTCCATCATGGGCAGGTTTTTACCGGAGCGATCACCTGTCAGCCTCTATTGTAAGAGGTAAAGGGAGGTACACGTGAACTATACAAACCCGTTCAGATTCGTTTCTATTCCTGCAGGATAATGGTGTAACCTTGTTATCATCCACATTATCCTTTTTAAAATGAAAACCTAGCAGCATCCAGTACGAATCGGGTTACTTTGTAAGGTTTGTTCTAGCTTTTTAACATGGTTACAATCTTAAGTAATAATTGAGAGTAGTGAGTGCATTGTTACATTTCTGTTGGGTATTGACACTTTCTAATGATCTCAAAAGTGTTTTCAATAATGTTTGTGACATCACAGGTACAAGTATTAAAATAGGCAAACTAGGAGTAAAAATTTGTTCTCCCTTCTGTGTGGTATTGTATGTTGCTCTGATTAAGTAGGGTTTTTTTTTTAATATAAAAAATGTTTTAATTGACATTATTGAAATTATGCATTTAGGTTGTTCTTTTGGCATTGATGTACCCTTTCATATTCAATATATTTAATAACAAAGAGATGTAAAAACCAAAGATAAAAATGTAGAAATTCAAAATCGTCAATACCTTCTAGTTAAAATTAAATCCCACTGAGAATATTTCAACATTAAAGTCTTCCATTGAACCTGAAGATATTTAAAGATGCTATGATGGGATCACAAGAATAATTTAGAAGTGCATAAGTTATTTGTCTATTGAAAGTTTTTTCTTTCCACAAAAGCTCCTTTGCTGAGATTCACAGAGTAACTCCTATATTCATTCCTCAAAATCAGAGATCAGAAATTGGAACTAGAAATCCAGAATATAATTAATGTAACAGTACGTTTATGCAACCCTTTATAATGGGAGCCAAATATTTGTACTAAAAATTGGTCAGCTGTCAGTAGTCATCTACCAAATGTTTTGAACAGATTTGGGGTTTTTGGAATACCGTGCAGTTATCCTGTCACTTCTGTAGAGTTACCATGATGTGCTGTAGATTAGATTATACATTAATTATATTCCTTGTGACAAATTGTTTTCAAATAAAAAATAGAGATGTAAATAAACAACATTCATTTACAGATTATCTAGTTTTACTGGGTGATTACATTTGCACCCTGAGCCTTTCCATACAGTAAAAAGTAGTAGTATTATGCAGTTATAACTTCAAAAAAATATTTCAGGCAAATGCCTGAAGATTTTCTTTATAATCTGAATGGTATTTGCCTGAAATATTCCAAGTCAGTTACTTAGGGAGTTATTCACATTATTTCCATTGGAACGTCTCTGGGGAAAGAGGCTAACAAGGACTATGTTTCTAGAAAATTTATGTTTTGAATCAAATGTGAGAATTATATAATAATTTTGCAAAGTACTGTATAGAGAATGAATAACATTCCATTACCCATTCTGATAACCATGCTGTTGGAGAATGTAAAAGGAAAATTGAAAAGCATGGGAATGGTGGATAAGATTGTTAGAATATTGTAGGAGAATGTCCTTTCATTATTATTCATTGTCTCTTCATTAGATTCTCTTTATTTTAAACCTTGTACAGATATTTATGATTTGAGGCCATAAATAAAGACATCCAGTCTAGGGGAAAGGAAATCAGTATGACAAAGACTGATAATTTAGGAACATACAAATCCATTTTTAAAGTTTAGTAGCCATAGGGTACAGATTTCTACCCTGTTTTTCATTATAGGAGGTTCAGGAACACCCATTCACCCATACACAAATATAATCAAAGCCTCTAAAAGGTATATGATGAACCCCACTTAAATTGGTTAGCTGTACATTAGTGCCTCCATTTTAAACCAGAGAAAAAAATCATTTCGAAAGTCAACAAAGCTAATTTTCCATTCACTTAATGGATCTTTTTTTTTTCTGCCTGCCATCCAAGTGACAAAAACTGGCAGACTTCCTACACTTTCATCTAGTCTAGCTAATGTTTAGCTAATAATTAGAGTCTCAGAAAGATTTTAGCAGGGGCTGGATATGTTTTCTGACATCAAGGGCTCTTTAGTTGCTTGGTTACATGCCAAAGATGACACATGTGTTACATATATATAGGTACCCTTGTGAATACACTATATACACATTCGGACTCAAACATATTGCACACTATCCTTCCCTAGCAATTCTGCTCTGTATTGTTGAGTATCACCACGGTTTACGGCGGTGGGAATCCAGGGATCTTGATCATAATGTGGGCCTGTGATCAGTGAGCCCATCCTTTTCCTTCTAGACCTGATGTGGATCATACAGATGACTGGTTTCATAGAGCCATTAGGAATGGGCAACCAACAGTTTGTAGACATTGAGAGCAAGAGGGAAGCAAGGTAGCCTCCTTCTATTTCACAGGGACTCCTCTGCAGATACTATTTTCATGCACCCATTAGCAGCCAAAAACTGATGTCCTTTTCCTGGCAAGCGAATTGCATTGATCCGCCAATCATTAAGGAGGTCAGCAAGGGACTCCATGACTTTGAATTGCAAATGATCCACCATATTTCAGTAGTATTCCCAGTTCCTGCCTCTCTTAACAAAAGGATTAACTAATGTTTAATCCCAATAAAGCTTCATTGCAATTAGGAACAGTAATCTTAGAATACGTTT